AAATTGGACCAAACAACAAAACTTCAATATAAACTTTTATTAATAAATTTGGATTTAATCAGCTGTAATTCGGCAGCCGAATAACCCAATTTGGACTAGTGTGAGCTAAGGCTTACTTGCAATAAAAAGTATTACCTATTTTTCTTACTTAAAATTACCATAAAAGAAAATTTTTTAACAAAATAAATATAATCAAAAAAGAGTTTTAATAGTTTATAAACAAACTAATATTTAACTTGTTATATATATATATTGTATATTAAAACAAAAGTATAAATCTTTACTAATTCTTTATTAATAAATATTTTATATTAATAGTTATTATAATATAATAACTTATACAAGTCAATATATTATATATTATATATAGATTATTCCCTATACTTTATCTTATATATAATATTTAAAAACTTTTATCTTAAATAATTTTTTTTATAACAATTAGAAAATAACTTATAGAATATAAAAATTATATTTCCTCTCTAGGCTTCTTTTTCTTTTGAAAACTCTGTCTTCATAACATTACTCCTCTGGCCAATTGACTTTCTTCTTTCAAGGACCATATTAAAAAGTGGTAACCTTTCTTAGGATATGGACCTTAGAATTTTTTTTCTCTTCCATGGTCCCTCAGAAAAAGGACAGATGTTTTATCCCTCCAAAAGATCGACATAGTTATTATTACCAAATCCGGTGTTGTTTACTAATTGGTGGTTAGACTAGATATGTCCAAGAAATCTTTGTACAACTATTATTATCTGAAAGTATTCAAGGAATTGTACTCCACAATATCCAAAGTGAAATAGCAACCAATACCAATGCAACTAGCAATAAGCTAAGTTAGTTGCAAGTATTATATTGGTGATTGGAGAACTTAGTAGGGTAATATATAATGATCAGAGATTTTAATTACCCTCACAATATGAGCTGATGATAACAATGAAAGTTTCTTGCTTATCTTTCCGACAATATAGATCTATTGTACAAGATTAGGTTCCAGTATCACTAAGAAAACCAATATGAACTCTACCCATAGGACACTTTCATCATACTTGAAATATAGATATGTCAAATTCTTTTTGTGACTTGGAGATAAGGATGGGTCCCTAAACTATTTAGCATATAAAATTTTGCAGATTAATTATGTCTCTTTTAAAGAGATATAATTATTTATTCATTACTTTAATAGGGACATAATTAAAAAAACACTTGAATTAAGTGTCCTAAATTGCAAAAAACCTTTGTAGATAGTTTTTTCTTGATCTTATATTTTAAAAAAAACTTTTTTAATAGTGAGAGACATTTGAATTATGTTCTCACCTTTAATTTAGAAACCCATATTTACTTGGAGGCAAACCTGTATAAAATGGCTACAGCACCTTTATGCAAAAAGATATTTACTTCTTACCATCTCCAACACTATTCTATTTGCTGTACATCAAGTCATATTTGGAAAGCAGGTGTGCCAATCCTAATAATGACTTGGAGGCCAACTTGTATAAATTGGCTGCAGTACCTTTATATAATTAGGTATTTATTTACTTTTAGGTAGCTAGATGCTATTCATAACATAATATAGATTTTTGAATTTCTTTTTTTCTATATTTTTTAAATGGTGCTAAAAGAGCATAGGGATCTGACCCCATATGGGAGCCTTGCATTAAACTCTTCTTAGCAAAGAGAGACATATGTTGTGCTATTGAATATTGTACCTTGCTTTGCAAGTGAAAGTATAATAAGTATGATAGTCATTTGCTCTTTTTAAAATATATATATATATAGAAATTATACTATTGATTTAAATTATCTAATATATATGGTCCAGTTTTATATAAGGAAATCTTTATTAGAAAGTTTAGTTCAAGTATTTTTTTAACTTATTATTTAGACTTTAGATTATATTTTTGCTACTTTAATACTTTTTATAAAATTGTAATCTTTCTTATTATCTATAGTTAATTATTTTTCAAATTAATTAAGTTTTGTACTAGATTAGAATAGTCTAAACTAGGACTCTAACTACTATTAAAAAAAGAAAATTAAAATTGAATTAGAATGAAATATAACTTAGTTTGTATATTCAAATATAAGATAAGTTTTAATTAAGGAATTTAAACATATACCTTTTAACTTATTATATTATTCAATTATTATAGTATACTTTTAACAATTATTATAATATAAACTAAATAATTGTTATATTATAATACTTTTTTTGAAGAATACAATATTAATATCCATTAAATCAATATATACGTAAAATGAGTTTATATAAAAAATAATACTTTAATAAATTATAATATTAGATATTATATAAGTTTTATTTAATTACCTTTACCTGGAATTAAATTGATATCTTGTAATCTATTATGTGAAGTACTAACCACTATATTATAGACTATACATGTGGTGTAAATTATTTTGCTGTTAACTCAATTTCCAAAATCCTCAAAAATAATTGCATCATGATTCAATTATTTATATATTTTAATAGTGACTCAATTAATTGCGTCAAATAATTGTATCAATTGTATCAAGGATCTACAAATTTCAGTAACATATATATTATAGCCCATAGGTTTATTTAAATTATTATATTTTATATAATATATATTTTGTTATATTCAAATTAAATAAAAAAATAATATTTTATCTATTGATAAAGCTTCTAATAATATTATTTCAATATTAGTTTAATATTTAAATTTACTATAGATTGATACTATATATATAATATAAATTATTTGCTATTGATTTAAATTTTAAAATCTTTAAAAATAATTGTATTATGTTTTAATTATTTATATATTTTAATAATAACTTAATTAATTGTATCAAAAATCTATAAATTTTAGCAACACATATAATTGGTACTATTTTAATATTAGTTTAATACTAATTTGATATTTTTTAAAATCTTATCTATTGAAAAAAAATTTTTTAAAAATTTTATTTAATTTTATTATTTTTAAATTTAATTTTTTATCAAATTCAAATATTAAAAAGTCTATATATTTAAAATTTTATTAAAAAATTTAAAAAAATTAAAACTTATGAATCTATAGCTTAATAATAAAGCTCTATAGGTTATCAAGTGAAAATTCAAGGTTCAAACCTGTTTGATTACAAAAATTTATTATACTTTCTTTCTAATTAGATTATATGAAGATATAACTTCTAGCTTTTTTCTGTGGTTCTAAGACTACAATAGATTATAAAAAAAGAAAAAGATTGTATGAAGAAAGACTTTTGACCTAATTTTGATTAAGCCTCACAATTCATTATACAATATAAACAATATCATATTTGGATATATAAACTGGGCTGTACTCCATCTTAATCAATCCCAATTATTAACTTCTTTACCTGTTAGTTTTCTAAATAAGAAGTTTTGAAGTAAAACACTGAACTGATATATTATTTATATAAAGATATAACTATCATATAGTGAAACAGAATATATAGGAGTTGTATTTCACTTGATATTTATATCTTTAGATTTGGCAGCTTATACCAACTAGTCCGAATCTGAAGTGTTTACTAAAAGGATAAGAATTGATCCATAAGTAGTATCTTGCAAATACTATATTTATGTAGATCCTTAAAAATTTATATTTCACTTGATTATTTGGCTCCTAGATTTGGTAGTGTTTAATCAGTGATCAAAACTAAAGCATTTATTAGGGAGTACATATTTGTATCAAAGAATCCTGCTATTGTATGTATTGGATAAGCAAAAAGGTATAATGTGATAAATAACTTATACTTAGATAATTAATAGTATATGTATAAGATTTAAAAACTAGGTTCTATAGGTTAGATAGTTTAAAACTATTAGTAAGATTTTTATTTGTTATAGCACCCTGATATTATGAGAGAAAGTCATTAAGTAACAAGTTTCTGGATACTAGTGAATAAAGTTGATAGACTAGTATTTAATTATAGTTCATATATTATAAAGAATATTTGATATAATGGACAAATAGTATATATTAATAAAATTTATATCTAATACTATTTAACTTTAAAAAAAGTTAAAAAATTCTTTTATTTTTAATTTTTAATTTAATAGAATTATAAAGTATTTTTATATTATTTTTATTTAAATAATTAATAAGATTTTTAATTTACTGACTTTTTAATATTGAAACTTGATAAAAATTAAATAAAATTGTATAATTCTATTAATATCAAAAGATTATTAATTATTATTATTTTAAAATAGTAATAAATTTATTTTTATTTAATCTTAATATTAATATAATAAAATTTTTTTTCATAATATAATTTTTTACAAATGAAAGAAAAATATCATTTTTTTTTGTTACCACTGTATGTTTTCAAAAGTTAAGACTAATATAAATTATTGTATATATTTTTATGCTTAAAAAAATATTTACCTTTAATATAATAATAATTTTATTATATTATTGTTTCCTCAATATACAGTTAATTAAAAGTATAAAACAAAAAAAATTATTTTATAATTAAATTTAATATTAATTAAAAAGAAAAACTTTATCCTAATTTGTAAATTTTCAATATTTTAAATTTATAAATTTTACTATACGTATTGATTAGATATGTAATATATAATCACATTTTTTTTTCTTTTCGTATGACGTTATGATTTTATATGTATTTATTAGCTGTAAATTTAAACTTTTTTCTTTATTGTTTCTGATATGGTTTGTATCTCTTCGTACTTTGATATGTTATTTGTAAGACGATTAATCTTTCCATTAAATTTTATTGTGGAGTTTATTAAAAAATTTTTATGTAGTCTGGGCACACAATTCTTATCTTTCAAAAGTCAGTCAACCCTAACAGTCGAGCTTGGACGGAGTATGATAATGTCGCTATGGCTCTCGAAGGTTAGTAATATGTTATACCTCGTAAGCGCGATTTTTCGCGTTAATATTATAGAAAACTTGAACCTTAACTGACTGATATATTGCAGCAATAGTTTCCATGTTTGAGAAACAACTTATCGAAACGAATCCATGTCTTTCTTGCATTAATTACCAAGTTAGCGATCTCATCAGCTTTATTAGTCAATGTAAAGAGTTTGCGGCATTCATCTTTGATTCGACAATAAACGCGTACATTCCAAGAGACAAGGCTTGGATTCAAGAAATGACAGTTTCTCATCTGAGGAGAAAACTTGAACCTAAAAAGGTCGATGGTCGTGTAAATGGGACATTTGGTGGAAAAAGGAATCGATACATCTAATTAGTCATACAATACCAAGACAATTTGCTGCAAACTAGCTTAGCTTGAACTATGTATCACATGATTTCTTAAGGGATTAAACGATTGGTAGAACAATTTCTTTTTTTTTTTGATATCTAAAATATAAAAAATATTTTGATTTTGATATATATTTTTTTATAAATTTTATTATTAATTATTATTAGTTTATTAAATTTAAATTTATAATTAATACATGTATGGTAATTTTATAACATAATATACAGTATATAGTTTTTAGAACACCTGTGCTCAATCATATCCTGCACCTTATGATTAGACGAACTAGTTATATGCACAGTGCTGGTGCCCTTTGGCTGTTTTGGGAGATACTGATTCTGTTTTTCATTATTTCTTGTAAGATCATGTTTCTATTGGTTGGAAGTGTGAAGAGTCTTCTACTTTTTTTCGGGAAAATTTTGATCAGAATTTTGACTTTATTAAATATACAGTATATCATGCCGTTTTTTCTCGTACGATCAATAAAAGCAAAGACGCAATTAGCGCAATTTAGGGTTCTGCAAGTTTCGAATCGAATCTGGTTCTATGCTAATAATTTCTTTTTTGGGAACGAAAAATGGGTTCTCCTAATTCGAATCGAATCATTTGAGGAATACTAGCGCAATTAATTTACCAGACATATTTTTTTCATGGTGTTGGTTGAGGGATTTAAAGTTTCTCTAAATCCAGAACTTTATAAATGTGCAGTAACATTAGGAACATTTTAGTATGACGACGTCATGTATCATCTCAAACTTTCCCGTATATACTCAAAGCTTTACGCATAACAAAAAAATATGGGTAGCGTCAATTTTTTTTATTATAACTTAAGTGGAGATTTTTGTGATGCGATCATATTAACGTAATTTCCCCCAAAAGTGCATAACAAAACTGAACCTGCAAATTATATAAAAAGGTGATGTCTCAGTTAGTGAGCCCTTTTATATGCCTTGCGAAAGTAAAGTAAAAATCAAACGAAAAATAAAACTTACCATTATTAATGTCATCGAAATCAACAATCAAATAAACTTGCATGTTCCACAAATTTATAATAAGGTAGGTTGGTTTTATTGCTCGGCTAGCTTCTAAAAAAACATTATCGCGATGTTAATCAAATTTCTGGCTCTATAGATGCTCAAAGTCAAAGCGGACATATTACCATTCCTGATCTTTTAGCATACTTGATATTCGCCGAGAAAATCGTGATCTTCAACACGTGCCTCATCAGCGCAAATACAAAAGAAAAAATCACATGACTGTAGTTTCAGATGGATTAAGCAACAAATTTCATGAATATAAAGCGGATTGAAATGTTTTGAAAATGAATAGTGGCAAGCTTGAATCACAAATATTGCATTATTTTTTTTTACCAATTGCTAATTTCTCGAATTCATGTTGTATCGAAATTACTTGATCTCAGCTATGGGTTTGTGGGGTGGTAGTTATGTAGATAGACGTAGATAATTTATTTCGGAAATCTAGTGTAGATGGGCGAGAATCTCGTAGTTAGCAGGCGTATAGAGAAATAATTTTATTAGCTATAGATATTTTCTATGGGGCTCGCCGATCAGAATCATGTGACTTGGTGTAACAAGGAGTTTTCCATATAGGGCTTTTGATAAATTATGAACCGTGTATTAACGAAAGAATACAACTCGTATGTAAAGACTTTGGATACGGTTGCAGTCAGTGGTTAAAAGCTTTTAAAGTTAAGTGTTAAAACCGTGCCAACGAACGATAATTAGTTAAAAATAAAAATTAGAGAATAGGCAAATAGGTGGGCTTGGAGATGCGGGCATCCCCAAGTTGACTATACGTGTTATACCAATATCACAACGCTGACAATCTGAACAGGGATATCACTGTTCTAGGTCCAAGTCGTTGATGAACTATACGTGTTCGATGTTGGCCACCTTTTTACCCGATAATGATCACTAGCTTTAAATACATGTATATTTTAAAAGTCAAAACAAATCGCTTTCTTGTTTATCTTATTTTGTAAAAATGTACTCACTATACCTTATTGTTGCTAATTTTCGTACATTAGGATGAAACCAATAGAGAAGACGTTTGTAATTTTTGGAGTGCAACTATCCAAGAAAAGCACGCAACTGACCAAGAAAAACATGCTATCATAAAAAAAAATCAGGAAGTAGGTCCCATATTGCCATTGATACTCGTATCTCTTTAAATATTCATTGTCTTTTCCTTTCCTAAGTTAAGGCTGGCAACCCTTGAGGACGAAAGATGATTTTCCAAAAGGAGGATATGTTAATCGAACGTGTGACATTTCAGCATGTAACTCATCTTGTTAAACATAGTGTTGTGATTTTCTTTTCCTTGTGCTTTCTAATTAATGTTATGCTCCACTAGGCTGAGTTATTGAATACCACAGCACAAGAAACTGGATCCCAATCGATAATGATACAGAAAAAATTACCAAGACCATACGCAGGCGGAATCCTAATACTTAATACCAAGATGATGGTGATTCAGACGATGATTTCCGAGCCAGAACTCAGGTTAGTTAATTGATCCTTCTGATACATTAATCGCTTATAATATATATTTAGAAGCGAATATTAATTATTTGAATTGTTTTCGTATTGTTTGAATTTTCGGGAATCTTTTTTGTTGTAGGAACGCCTTAACAAGTGCCCTTCATCTTTTGAAGATGAATTGGATTCAACCAAGGTCAGACTAGGACTAATTTATATATCATTTGTCTCATTATTTCATATTGATATTATGTCTTTATTAAATCATTTTTTGATTTGCAGACCAAAATGGATTCTATGTTTAACATATCATTTGATGAATACATTACTGTACCATTTGGTAACAATTCCGAGATTCCACCACCTGGTAATAATCCCATAATGCTACCACCACCTAAGCAGGGTATTCTTAAATGTCCACTTGATATTTATAAAATGAACTTGGATTGGGCACCATGGAAGATAGATTCTTGATTCAAAACTTATAACAAGTCACCCAAATAATAAACATCATTCATACAATTTATGAGATTTTATCATAGTAAGGAGAAATTGAAAGAATTGAAAGGAATATGTCAGAAAATTATATAAATCAAAAAAATACAATGAGACAAACAAACAAAGAACAAATTCCAGAAATAGTAATGAATGAACACACTTTAGAAAACACAATCAGGGATGAAAAAATACATAGTTTCAAAATAATTATGGAAAAGCAGCTTTCTTTAAATGAAAGTTCTGATATACAGTAGAATCTTCATAAATTAATATTCCATAAATTAATAATATATTAAGTATCTTCCTAAATTTATAAATTCTTTGATTCAATTTTCAAAATTACTATATAATTTGTCTCTATATTTTGATAATTTTCTTAATTTTATAAAATTTTGAAAAAAGCATAAGGTTCAACTGTATATATATTCATTTTTAATTTAATGCAAGATATTAGAACTTTTCAAGACTATGTAACAAAAAATAAACATTATCAGCTTACAAACTTTTATTATATTTGTAAAAAAAATAAATACAAAGTCAGAATTCTAATAGCAAATATATTAGAAAAGAATAAAATAAAACAAATCAAATATATTACAAATATTTTTAAGTTTTTTTTTAACAAATATTATCTTATCTGGTTATTTTTTTTAATAAAAATAATTAATACATAATTTATTTCAAACATAAAAGAAATCAAACAATATATATTAGCAAATTTAAAAATAAGGAAAATTTTGAACTAATTATAATACAATATTCAAATTCTATTTAAAGTAATAACTTTAACAAAAAAATAAAAAGTTTTAATTATAATATATTTATAGAAAAAAAAATTACAATACTTGTAGTTTATACAACTTAACTAATAAATAAAGTAAAAGTATAGCTTCAAATCAAATATAATCACCTTTCTTATATTAATAAAAAAAATAAATTATAACAAGTTATCAATATACTTGAAGTATTTATAGAATATAAGAGGATATAAATACTAGCAATAAAAAAAACAAACAAATAATTCTCTTTTTTAACAATACAAATAAAACTTACAAATATAAATAATAATTTCTAAACCATATATAATTATAAAATATAATTTTAACTATTAATAAAGATATTAGTCTAGATATAGATGTTTTATTTAAAACTTTACTATTCCATCAACTATTAAATTAATATTAAATTAATATATATATTTTTTAACAAAATATAAAATATTTTTAGTAAATATAAAAAAATAAAATTCTTCAAAATTATTAAAGAAAACAACAATTACAACAATATTATATTCTCATTTTAGTTTATAAAAATAGATTCAAAAAAAGTTTAAGCAATTCTACTAAACAACTTAATAACAAAACTTGCCTTATTAAAAAATTATCAAATTATTTTATTGAAATATAATAATATTACAATCAAATTATATGGTATTAAAAAATTAATATTAGCTTTACAGATAATAAATATCACAAAACATAAAAATAAATAAATAAATAATCTATATTTAAGTTTACAATATTTAAAATATAGTATATTAGAAGAATCAGATCTATATATGTGGTGGAATTAAATTTAGATATTTTTCAAAAACTATATTATTATTAAAAATATAATAAATTAATTAGAAATTATATTTAATTAAAAATTATATTACTATAGATCGTAAAGATCAACAATATGACACATGTATAATCAGACCTATAAAATACAATTCATTTAATATTAAAAATTATCAATACTAAATTAACAAGACAAAAAGATAAGAAAAGTAATAGAAAATTTTATTATTTCTTTTAAAAAGTTATATTAATTTAATTCAAATTCAATATTGAAGAAAACAAATTATTAAAAAATTTACAACAAGTAAAATTTTTAGTATTAAATCTTTTATCAATTTATATCTCAACACTTCTAATTTAGAATCCTTCCTAAAGTCATATAATTAACAATCAGATATCAATATATTTATATTTTTACAGAACAAAAAAACTACTTATAAATAATCAAAACATAAATTCTTATAATATAGATTTAAAAAAATCTTTATCTAATTCTAACAATTTAATATAGATAAAATCTACAATATTAGAAATATTCCATATATAACAAATCAAAAAAATATTAATTTAAGAAATTTAAAAAAATCAAACAAATATACTAGGCTTTAACAAAACAAAACTTATTTAAATTAGTTGACAGTTTATATTTTAAAATAATAAAAACAAATATAAATGCTTTTGATATTTATATTTATAAAATTCTATATAAGCAAATATCTTTTTTTTTAATTTATAAAAGTTTGAAAAAAACATTATTAGTATAGATAAAATAAAAAGTTATCTAATAATTATTAATTTTTAGCAAAATATAGATAATAAATATATATTCCCTATAATAAACAAAAAAATATAATTATTTAAAAGAAGATTCAAATATTTATTCAAGATAAAATCTATAAATAATATTATATTATTCTAATAAATAACTTCAATATTATTTTTAATTTCAAATATAATAATATAAGTATAGACTTCAGCATGATTTTTACTTCAGTAAAAAAATTAGAGATATTAATATTTACTTATTTAACTAATTAAAATTTAATAGATTTTTAATAATTATAAAATAATCAAGAAAATTTTTATATAATCAAATAATAAAAATTCAAGTAGAATAGATTATATCTAAAGCTTATTATTTATAACTAACAATTTGATTAGATTTAAAAATAAAAATTTCAATAAAGTTACAAATAGTAATTATATTTTCTTAAAACTGTATATAACTAAAAAGTTTTTTATATATGTATTTTTAAATTAACAAAAATTGTTAAACAATAATAAGAAAAAATAATATATTTGATCAAGTTAATTGAAAAATAATAAAACAAGTTCAAAAACAAAACAAAAGAAAAAATTCAAAATATAAAGCTTTAAAATAACATAACAAGCCTATATAATGAAATAACAAACTCATATAATCAAACTAGTAAAACTTAAAATCTATAAAGTAAATTTGAAAAAATAATAATTGTAATAATATTTAATAATCTTTATTATAAAAAGAGAATTTTCAAAGAAGTTTAAAAAGTAAAATAACAAAACATAAAATATTAAAAAATAATATTTAATTAAACTATATAGAAAGTTTCACAAATTATTAAAAGAAATAAAAAAATACTTAACAATAATAAATTCTTTTCTATTATTATAACAACCTAATAATTTTATACTTGAAGTTATTAAAATTCTGTTAGTTAATTTTTAATTATTAACAAATATAATATTATCAAGTATAAAAAATTAAAACACAATTTTATCTCAAATAAAAAAATATATACAGTATATAATCTTAAATCAATATTGCAAAAAACATATTTATTAGAGAAAAAAAAATTACCAATTAAGAAATCTTTTAAAACAATTTAAATATAATATCAAAATATTAAAGAAAATAAAAAAAGAATTATATAAACATTAACAAACAATTTTAAGAAACAAATAACAATTGATAGAATCAAAATAATAAATGAAAAGAAATAATAATATCTTATAATTAATAAAAAAGAAATCTTAAGTTAAACAGAGTAATACTATCAAAAAAAAAAAACTTTTTCCACTGATCCTTTTGCCAACCCAAAAAACAGACGTTCTCAAAAGATTTTTGTCTTTATAATAATAAAGTCTATA